AAGGCCAATTCTTGTATGTCCCAGTCCCAACCCACCGTTGTTAACCCCTGAATCACCTGAATCAGGAATTAGTTTCTACAGTTCCCTTGGTGATTCTGATGCATCTGAGTGTTGATAACAGAGGCACAGAGAAAGCCATTTACAAAATCATGATGTAAACTGCCTTACTTACTTGATTCCATAATGAATATATATTTCCAAAATAGAGCATTCTTAAAATTGAACAATATTAAATAATGTATATCCATATTTAAATCAGTACTATTTTCATCTAAGTATCCTTTTATTTTATTTTATTATTATTATTATTTTGGAGAGGTTTTTGCTATAGGGCGTGTGCACTCGCCAGAGAGACAGAGAGAAACATAGAGACAGAAAGTGAGAAATCAACCTCCAGGGGGGATGCTCATGCTGCAATCCCTTCTCCTCCATTCTCCTCTCGGGATCTTGTGCATGCACTCCCACGTGCCCGGCGTGAGTTTTAAGCCACTGGGTCTGGGACGTGAACCGTGGTCTACTACGTGGGAGTCCAGCGACATAGCCATTGCGCTAACTGCTGGTTCCCAGCACCCGGCATGAGTTTTAAGCCACCGGGTCTGGGATGCGAACCACGGTTGACTATGTGGGAGTCCAGCAAGATAGCCATTACGCTAATTGCTGGTTCCCTTTTATTTTATATTTTTAAAGTAATTATTTTATTTAACTTTATTTGCTTACTGTAATTTGACCAGAGAGGGAAGGACTGAGAAAGAGAGAGAAAGTGAGAAAGCAAGCTGGCCACGTGGGAGCCCAGGGCCCTTAGCCACTTCGCCACCTGCCAGCCCCTAAGTATCCTTTTAAATTGATGCACTATCATGAATTTATTATTAATAAGTAATTATAGGGACCAGCATATGGTGTAATGATTATGTTGCTGGACTGCATGTAGTCAACCACAGTTCAAGTCCCAGACCCTGTGACTTAAACCTCACACCAGGCATATGTGCATACGTGCCCAAGATCCAGAGAGGAGGATGAAGGAAAAGGGATTACGGCCTGGCCACCCCCCAAGGGAGTGATTTCTTGCTTTCTGTCTGTCTCTCTGGCAAGTGCATGCACCGTATAACAATCTCTCTTAAGAAACCAACTAATCAAGGGCCGCAAGTGGCGTGGTGGTTAGGGCACTGGACTCCCACAGGGTCGACCATGGTTCAAGTCCCAGACCTGGTGGCTTGCTTTCTCACTTTCTCTCTCTCTCTTCCTGTCTTGCTCTGTTGCTCTGTCCCTCTCTGGTTAAATTTAAATAAATAAATAAAACTTAAAAAATAAATTAATTCTTTCTAAAAAGTAATTATAAAATTATTAAATAAGTTAGGCATTATCATGTGTATGCCAGCTTATGCTCCTCCCCATTTTGTCTTTTTTTAAACACTTATTTTATTTTATTCATTATTATTATTTTTAAATTTGACCAGAGAGAGAGAGGGAAAGTAGGAACGAAA